TCAATCGAACAGTAACTGAATGCCTCGATGCCTGTCTGCCTGCTTTATATAGCCAGCCACGGCACATTACTTACTGTCTGTAGGAGCGATCCATTTTCGTGAACTGGTGTTGTAACTAATAAACTGGCCAGTGAGTGTATATATATACACTCTCTCACACACACCTGTGTGTTGCAGGCGTCTGGCTAAGTCTACCCTGCTGTTGATTCCTCTCTTTGGAGTCAACTACATGGTGTTTGTCTACCTGGTGGAGACAGAGAGCGACAGGATGGAGGAATACAAGATTCTCTTTGACCTGGTACTGGGGTCCTTCCAGGTATAACACTACCTTAACCCCTAATCTTTAGCCTTACCCCCCTAACCCTAACCCTATCCAGTTTAACCCAGGTCTAGGATCTATATATGTGTCACGTCGTGTTGTGATTAGTATATGACATGTATAGTGTGTATAGAAGCTGTTGATGTTGCCGTATGCTGTGTGTTCTCTAGGGTCTGGTGGTAGCCATCCTCTACTGCTTCCTCAACACTGAGGTCAGTCAGCTGAATGTACTATTACATTTAACCTCAAAATGTTCTCTGTAACCATACTCTCTAAGACTGTGTGTGTGTGTGTGTGTGTGTGTGTGTGTGTGTGTGTGTGTGTGTGTGTGTGTGTGTGTGTGTGTGTGTGTGTGTGTGTGTGTGTGTGGTGTGTGTGTGTGTGTGTGTGTGTGTGTGTATATGTGCAGGTCCAAGGGGAGCTGAAGTTGAAGTGGAGGAGGGTGTCGTTGAAGCGCTACATGTGGAGGGACTACCGTCTACACAGGGCGTCAATCAGCCATAACGGGACTGATAACTATACCCACTTCCTGCGGAACTCCAGAGCCCAATCCATCCTGCAGACAGAGACCACCTCACTGTGACACGAAAGTAGTTCCAGCTGTGTGACCCCGGACTTGGATCTAACTCTTTCTTTGACCCGGAAGTAGATCTGGGTTCAATCAACCAGTCAATCAAACAATACAATTTGAGGTGAAACTGAAAAGAGGAACATTTCTAACAGATATAGAGATATTTCAAGACAGAGATATTTGCTTGTTATATAAACTGATTAACTTTTACCATAGTGCCAGGAGAGGCTGGATGTTTCATTCCATACTGTGGAACTCTTGAGGAGCTGTCAATACTGCCACAATGTGTTTGTGTGCGAGCAAGTTTGCGTGTGCGTGTGTGTTTGTGAGTTTGCGTGTGAATGTGTGTTTGTGTGTTTGTGTGTGTGTGTGTGTTTGTGTGTGTGTGTCTTCAGAAGCTAACAAAGGGTCTATATAGAACATCATATATCCTATGTTTATGAGACAGAAGCCTGGAACATTTCTGTTTTCCACTGGAATGGGTTTGGCATTCCAGGTATTGCACACACACACATACACACACACACACATACACATACACACACACACACACACACACACACACACACACACACACACACACACACACACACACACACACACACACACACACACACACACACACACACACACACACACACACACACACACACACACACACACTGACCTACACCTGGTGCCCTGTAGTCTGCCTCAGTTGTTCTCTGGAGTGTTCTGATGCCCTGGTTTCACAGTGTGTGTGTCCATCTTTCTCACACACACACACTTATACATGTGTCAGTTCTGAGCTGCTAGGGTCTGTTCTCTGTACCTCTCTGTCCTAAACCGTCACACTGTATAGCCGCCCCTTGCCCTGTGATTAACTCTCCTCTTTATCTTCATCTTTTACCTCCAGCTTTTTAGTTAACCTCAACAAGAAGAACCATCTGCCACTCCTGTCCTCCACTCATCCCTCTCTCCATCGCTCTCTCTCTCACTCTCTAGATAATGGAGGTGTGTCTGAGGGGCTTCACTGCTTCATTAAAGAGCTAAGGGGTTGAGAAGGCAACAACATCTATTATTGGCTCACACACACACACACACACACACACAATGCACTCTGGGTCGTCACGCTCCTATTTACACATTAGACTGCTTGACCGCCCTCTTTCTCTCCATTCATCCCTCTCTTCCTCTCTCTCTCTACCCCCTCTCCTCTCTGCCCCCTATCCATTGTATTCCCCCTCTCTTTATTCCATACTCTCGCTTAATTTTTCTCCCTACCTTTGATCATCTATCTCTCTCTCTGAATGGTCTCAGTGTGTTTTTAGAACTTTAATAATACATGGAGGAGCAGCCATTACGTATTAAAACACTGTTACTATCTGCAGACCCCCGCTGCGCTCTCTACAGCCAGGTCACTCTGTACGTGCACGTGCATGTATAAAGGTGACACAAAGCATATCCTCACTCATTGTACTCAGAATAGAATATGAGAACAGGAACATTTTCACCCACTCCTGAGCACCGCATCTGTGGTCCTCCTCAGTCACACTGTGTGGTCCCAGTTGGCCGCTAGATGGTGCTATGAGGTTAGACTTCTCCTCTCAGCTCTGCTATAGTAACCCATAGACAAACTGTACACTGTATCACTTCAGAACAGCAACCCCCTGTATGCTTTCCAGTGGTTTTAGATCAACATAAACACAACAATAGACTAACTCTCTTCAAACTAACAGGAAATATGTCAAAATAACAGACTGACTGTCATAACAAGTATTTTAAGGAAATATATTTTGAAAACATATATATTATTCAATCCATTAACACAGAACAAAGTTTAGGTCCTAATGACAAGATACACTAATCAAAATATAACAGAAAAAGAAAACATGCTGAAAACTATTCTATGATGGTTGAAAGGGCTTGAAGGCTTGTAGGGGGAGGCAGATCTACAGTACAGAAGGCTCCAGACACGGTCAAGCATGGCTCCTTCACTTTTTCATCACTTTTAAACCTAGAGAGAGACATAGAGATTAGACTCTGTGTGTGTGTGTGTGTGTGTGTGTGTGTGTGTGTCCTCTTTACCTTTCTTTCTCTTGTCGACCCAGGCTGCTTTGGGATCAGAGCAGATCTTCTCGCCTTTCACTGTGTAGAAGCTGAAACAAAACACAGAGATTATTACTACTAATGTGTGTGTGTGTGTGTGTGTGTGTTCGTGTGTTCGAGACTTACATAATGGCATTAACACAGGGTGGCATGGAGTTTTGGATGCGGTATCCTTGCAGGTCAAATTTTATGGGAGTGTCAGACACACTTGTGCAGCAATTTGTGGTCACCTTACTGGGCCGACGATCTGAGAGAGAAAAGGAGGAGGAAGGAAGTGAGAGAGTAAGGGAGGAGGAAGGAAGTGAGAGAGAGAGAGAAAAAACAGAAATAAAAGATTGTAAGATCTCTAAACTAACCATCAAAAAAAATGGTGAGAGACTGACAGGAAACTATTAAGACATGTGGCCTGTCCCACCTCAGATGTGTCAGAGGGCTGTCAAAATCAACCAACCTATGTCTGTGTGCTTGTGCTTGTGCATGCACAGGGTTGGGGAGCAACTAATTACATGTAATCAGTTACAGTGCATTCGGAAAGTATTCAGACCCCTTGACGTTTTCCACATTTTGTTACGTTACAGCCTTATTCTAAAATGGATTAAATATTTATTTTTTCCCCCTCATCAATCTACACACAATACTCCGTAATGACAAAGCAAAAAACGGTTTTCAGACATTTTAGCAAATGTATTAAAAATACATAAGTATTCAGACCCTTTACTCAATAATTTGTTGAAGCACCTTTGGCAGCGATTACAGCTTGAGTCTTCTTGGGTATGACGCTACAAGCTTGGCACACCTGTATTTGGGGAGTTTCTCCCATTCTTCTCTGCAGATCCTGTCAAGCTCTCAGGTTGGATGTGGAGCGTCGCAGTCATGTGCCTTTTACTGAGGAGTGGCTTCCGTCTGGCCACTCTACCATAAAGGCCTGATTGGTGGAGTGCTGCAGGGATGGTTGTCTTTCTGGAAGGTTCTCCCATCTCCACAGAGGAACTCTGTAGCTCTGTCAGAATGACCATTGGGTTTTTGGTCACCTCCCTGACCAAGGGCCTTCTCCCCCGATTGCTCAGTTTGGCCGGGCGGCCAGCTCTAGGAAGAGTCTTGGTGGTTCCAAACTTCTTCCATTTTTAAGAATGATGGAGGCCACCGTGGTCTTGGGGACCTTCAATGCTGCAGACATTTTTTGGTACCCTTCCCCAGATCTGTGCCTCGACACAATCCTGTGTCGGAGCTCTACGGACAATTCCTTCGACCTCATGGCTTGGTTTTTGCTCTGAAATGCACTGTCAACTGTGGGACCTTATATAGACAGGTGTGTGCCTTTCCAAATCATGTCCAATCATTTGAATTTACTTCAGGTGGACTCCAATCAAGTTGTAGAAACATCTAAAGGATGATCAATGGACACAGGATGCACCTGAGCTCAATTTCGAGTCACATAACAAAGGGTCTGAATACTTATGTAAATAAGGTATTTCTGTTTTTTCTTTCTAATAAATGTGCAAATATTTCTAAAAGCCTGTTTTCACTTTGCCATTATGGGGTATTGTGTGCAGATTGATGAGGGGAAAAAAATAATTTTATCCATTTTAGAATAAGGCTTTAACGTAACAAAATGTGGAAAAAGTCAAGGGGTCTGAATACTTTCCAAATGCACAAAAAAACTGCAATCAGTTACGTTACCAGCAAACATGTCAAACTAAACAGTTCAAACGTATTTAAAAAGTACATATAACTATGGTTCATGGACCACTCTGGGTCCAAAATGTGTCTGAGTTGTAGAAGGACTATCGAAAAGCTTTTGATTACATGAACTCAATGGTAACTGTAAACGCGTTATAAAATGTTCTGCATTTTAATGTGTGTGTGAATATAGTATATAGCATATACTGTATATTCATATATAGTTCTAGAATATAAACAATACAGTTGTAGTTTTCAATCATTCACTACAGCAATCAATCAGTGAATCAGTACTCACAGTTGGCAGACACAGTGGCGAGGTACACACACATGGTGATCAGGAAGGCCAGAGAGAGGGTCCTGGACTGGAACATGGACATATTGACTGACTGACTGACTGACTGAGTAACTGAATGAATGAATGACTGACTGACTGACTGAATTAATGAATAAATGACTGACTGACAGACTGACTGACTGAGTAACTGAATGAATGACTGACTGACTGACTGAATTAATGAATAAATGACTGACTGACAGACTGACTGACTGACGGACAGACTGATTGACTGACTGACGGACAGACCAACACACACAGGGAGAGACTCTGCTAGGCACTAAACTACGGAGACGGGTCGGAGGTTGTACTGATTGGTCTGGTAACCGTGGCGATGAGTCTGTGACAGGCGGTGGAAGTGTCAGGGGTTTTGTGTCTGACGGTGGGTTACACCTACCGTACTAGTGGAAACTCCCACCTTGCACTGTTTGTTTGTGTGTGTGTTATGGTGCAATGTGGTCAGTACTCGTAATGCTATATTCACACCTCTGCCCCCCCTCTCCTTCTCTGTCTTCTTTTTGCCCCTTAACAAACCACCAACACCCCCAACCCCTGCAGCAGTATTTCGGAGAATGATGGTTTAATAAAGGGTACACACACACGCACACACACCAAAAGGTGTGAAACGCTGATGCTGAAAATGCTTGGTGTTTTTTTCTGTCTGCACCTTGACATCAAAACAGTCAGACTGAAAACTTAAAATAATATTTCCAACATTTTATTTTCAGTTTCAGTTTCCCCAAAGATTCATTGATTTCCTGATGTTTACAACTCATTACTGTTGAATAAATAAGTAGATAAGGAAATTGCTCTTACAAACATGTTTTAAAACAACATTGATTGATCAAAAAGAAACAAATTAAATGTATAAGTACTTAATAAATAAATGTGTTAAATAACATTAAGAACTCATTGGCATGATGAATTATTAAAAGTCAACATAACTACTTGAAGAAATGAATAAATAAATACATGAAACACTGGCCTTGAAGATATTTCATAAATAACTCTAATAATGATGACAACTGAATTAAATAATAACTAGTAAGATATTACATCTGAATGTAATATGCATATTGGAAGTCTGTTAGATGTTAGATATGAAGACGTGGAACTTCAGTGGAACTTCAGCCATTGGCAATGATTCTATTGGTTGACTGTTGACTGCTGAGTTAAGGCATTCTCGATTGATTCCCGATGAGGGGAGAAGGAAAGAGATGGAGGAGAGGAAGAGAGAGAGGGAGGAGAGGAGGAGGCAGGGAAAAGAGAGGAGAGGAGATAGGAGGGAGAGGGGGACAGAGAGGGGTGAGAGGAAGTTACGGAGGGAGAAGAGGGGGAAGCAAGGAAAAGAGAGGAGAAGAGCGAGTGAAGAGAGGAGGAAACAGACAGAGGAGAGGAGGAGAGAGAGGGAGGAGAGGAGGGTAGGGAGGTAGAGGTGGAGGTGAGAGAGATGGAAGAGGAGGAGAGAGAGGGAGGAGAGGAGGGTAAAGACGTAAGGGTGGAAGTGAGAGAGGGGGGAGAAGAGTTGACTGAAGGAGGAGAGGAAGTGGTAGGGGTGGAGGTGAGAGAGGGGGGAAAGGAGGAGAGAGAGGGAGATTTTGAGCTCCGGCGGGCCTTTCTAGAAAAGAAAAGAAATTACACAATCAGTTTCCTTTTCTCTTTTGTTCTTTCTCTGTGTGTGTGCACGTGTGAGCTTGCGTTTATGATAGTTAACTTACTCAAACTGTTGAATCTTGCGCCGTACCCAGGGTTGTTTATAGTGACAACAGATCAGACCCTTCTCCGTCTCAAAGCTGCAGGAGAAACTCAGCGTTAACACTGAAACTGAAGGGGTTTGACATAACATGTCTGGGGGCTTTGACACAACATAGCCACCACATACTGTAAAGCACTTTGTGACAACATATGAGACTAAACTTGAAAAACCTCAATGAAATAAAGACTAAAAGATCTGTTCCTTACATGACGGCCCGTACACAGGGAGCGTTATAGGCCTGAGTCCAGTAGCCTGTGATTGGATCAGTCACCTCGCTCCTGGTCACTGTCTTACAGCACGACACCAGCTTCTCTCCATCTACTGAGGAGGGGGAATAGTTTAAATTAATGACATGCTTACATATTTTAATAGAAAGAAAAATTGGCATGATCAGCTCAAATATCTGTAGTAACAAAAAGTTGTTGCGTGCTGGATTCAAAAGGCATACAGTATAGGTCTACTTGAAGAAAGGAACAACCCACACTCACTGAAACATTATTTAATTATGTTTTTTGCAGCAGATGTCAGAACAAACGGATGCGTTTCGGCGGCATCCCTCGTAAGCATCATACTTACATATTTTCAAAGAAACAAATCATCTTGACCTGGCAATCACTTCAAAAACCATGTACCTCCACCTCTAACCACCTAACACACACTCCCTTCCCCTCACCTGTCCCTGTCCAGATCAGCGCTGCTATGACGATAGCTGCTGTCCAGATCTTCACCAGAGTTCCACAGCTCCCCATCTTTACTGTAGGTCTCAGATTCAACTGGTACAATACAAGTTTAATAAATAGATGATTGAATTCTCTCTCTTCTCTGGCAGGCTGCTCAGCTTAGCTCAGGGTCAGGTCTGTAGTGTCAGTCTTCACCAGGGTGGAGGGGATTTAAAGGCCTGAAAAGCAGAAGTGGCATCTCCTGTTCAGTCATGCCTCTCTTCTCCTCTCCTTTATTTGTGAACGACAGAAAGAATGAAAGGCTGCCGGGGATTTCTGCTGCGTCACTGCAGGTTGTTTACCAAGAGGAAACACTTTCATCAGCATTCCGACCGGAAAAATGTGACATGGGTCTTTCCCAGAATGACCGTTCGGAAGATCAGAATGCCAATATGACAGTTGATTTACAGGTCATATTCTTCAAGAATCAATGGGTACATATGTAGCAACTGCAGATTGAGTTTTTAAGGTATGGCCTAATGACTGAGCTAAACATGCTGTGATGAAGGCTTTACTAATGAAACATACTGTAGTAGGTGGAAGATAAGGGGATTTTGTCCTTTATGTCCAAGATTGAGTGCCCCTACTTTTTCTTTTGTCAGTTGACTTTAGGGTGGGGTTTAGGGTGATGACATCATGGTGACCCCATCCCAATGACACATGAAAAGTTGCAACCTTGACCTTTGTATTGCATTGGGTTTTATGCTGGCAGACCAGGTGTGGCCAACCCTGATCCTGGAAAGCTACAGGGTATGCAGCCTTTACTTATGCACTATCATTAGTCTTCTTACTCAGACACATAAACACGGATGAAATCGTATATGACTTATATAATTTTTGTCTGTCATGGTTACATGTTTCATGAGCTGAAATAAAAGATCCCAGAATAGTTCCATGTGCACAAAAAGCTTATTTCTCTCTAATGTTGTGCACATATTTGTTTACATCCCTGTTAGTGAGCATTTCTCCTTTGCCAAGATAATCCATCCACCTGTGGCATATCAAGAAGCTGATTAAACAGCATGATCATTACACAGCTGCACCTTGTGCTGGGGACAATAAAAGGCCACTCTAAAATGTGAAGTTAAATCACACAACACTATGCCACTGATTTGAGGGAGTGTGCAATTTGAATGCTGACTGCAGGAATATCCACCAGAGCTGCTGCCAGAGAATGTAATGTTAATTTCTCTACCAACGTCATTTTAGAGAATTTGACAGTACGTCCATCCGGCCTTACAATCGCAGACCATGTGTAACCATGCCAGCCAAGGACCTCCACATCTGGCTAAGGTCCCGTGTAGCTCAGTTGGTAGAGCATGGCGCTTGCAATGCCAGGGTTGTGGGTTTGATTCCCACGGGGGGCCAGTATGAAAAAAAAGTATGTATGCACTCACTAACTGTAAGTCGCTCTGGATAAGAGCGTCTGCTAAAATGACTAAAATATAGAAATGTCACATGCGGGATTGTCTGAGACCAGCCACCGGACAGCTGATGAAACTGTGGGTTTGCATAACCGAAGAATTTCTGCACAAACTGTCAGACACCGTCTCAGGGAAGCTCATCTGTGTGCTCAGGGTCTTGACCTGACTGCAGTTCGGCGTCGTAACTGACTTCAGTGGGCAAATGCTCACCTTCAATGGCCACTGGAACACTGGAGAAGTGTGCTCTTCACAGATGGATCCCAGTTTCTACTGTACATGGCAGACGTGGTGAACAGAGTGCCCCATGGTGGCAGTGGGGTTATGGTATGGGCAGGCATAAGCTATGGACAATGAACACAATTGCATTTTATCTATGGAAATGTGAATGCACAGAGATACCGTGACGATATCCTGAGGCCCATTGTCATGCCTGTTACGACCTGGCTCATTGTTTGTAACAACAAAGAGAGACCACGCATAACTTAAATGTAAAAATGAATAAATGTATAATAATAATAATAAATACAAAAATGTAACATAAGCTGTGAATGTCTGTAGGATCAGTAGTGTATGCAGTGTGTGGATGAATGGAGAGGGTGTTGTTTGGTGAAAACAGACTAAAGACTAAAAGGTGGTGGAAGCCAGCCTGCCAGTCAGGGAAGACAGTGTTGGCTGATGTGGCCACCCTTTATAGCCTGCAGGCCAAGCCTGCCCATGTGCGCCACATCAGCTGACGATCCTCCCAGCTCTGCAGACTGGCCTCCTGCAACAAGCAGACTACGAAACAGGAGATCCCAGCAGACAGAGTGGGAGGGACGTCCCCGTCCCCCCTTAAGAATGGGGTTCCACCACAAACCTGAAACAAAAACAGAAACAACCAAAACACTAAAAAACGAATGCCATATTGCGCCACTTATTACTAAGCAAAAAAAGAAACACCCACCTATACCCCCTGACCCACCTCTGCCCTCCAGGCTGCCCCTCGCTCTACCACCTCAGCAACCTGGGATCCTAAGGAACACTTTAAGAGGGAGAGAAAGAGAGACAGAACCGGGGAAGAAAGAGGGAGACAGGAGAGGACAGGCAAGTTATCCAAAACAATAACAAAAAACTACGGCATGGGGGCGCGGGACAAGGCATCGGCAAGGACGTTTCTTTGCCCTTAATATGGCGAATGTCGAAATTGTGCGGCTGCAAAAACAGTGCCCACCTCATAAGCCTCTGATTTGGGTTCTGGAAGGACTGCAGAAACGTCCGAGGATTATGATCTGTGTACACCACGAGAGAGGTGCCACCTGAACCAACTTCCACGTCAAAATGTTGGAGAGCCTAAAGAAGCGCAAGCGCTTCCTTCTGTACCACAGAATAATTGAGCTGGTACGAGTTAAACTTCTTAGAGAAGTAACTAATTGGACGGCCCACCCCCTGGACATCTGCCTGCAACAGAACAGCACCAAGACCTACATTACTAGCATCTACATGGAGTATGAACGGATCATTCAAACGAGGGGCAACAAGCACTGGGGAAGAACACAATAGTGTCTTTACATTCTCGAACGCAGCTTGACGTCTGTCCGACAAAATATACTTCACCTGAGCCTTAAGCAAGTCGGTCAGGGGTGCTACCACTGAGGAAAAGTTCTTACAGAATCTTCGATAATAACCAACCATACCGAGAAAGCGCATAAGCTCCTTCTTAGTCATGGGAGGCGGACACTGCTCAACAGCTTCAACTTTGGCATGCACTGGGCGAACCACACCCTGACTGACCACTTTGCCGAGATAAGTGACACTTGCTTTAGCAAACTCACATTTGGCCAGATTAACTTCATCCGTTGCCATCACCTCATGTTGAGCATTGAGCATGTTTGAGATGCTCTGGATCGACATGAACGACAGCGTGTTCCAGTTCCCGCCAATATCCAGCAACTTCGCACAGCCATCTAAGAGGAGTATCCACAGGCCACAATCAACAGGAGATGTGTCGTGCTGCATCAGGCAAATTGTGGTCACACCAGATACTGACTGGTTTTCTGATCCACAACCCTTCATTTTTTTAAAGGTATCTGTGACCAACAAATGCATATCTGTATTCCCAGTCATGTGAAATCCATAGATTAGGGCCTAATGAATTTATTTCAATTGACTGATTTCCTTATATGAACTGTAACTCAGTAAAATGTTGCGTTTTTATTTTTGTTCAGTGGAGTTGCTCTACAGATTAACCAACCTCCTGTTATTAGTCAGAGTTTAAGTTGGCTGACAGGATGTGTGTGTGTGTGTGTGTGTGTGTGTGTGTGTTGTGTAACCATGCAGATGAGAAATTAACACCTCTGTGTTCTATAGAGTGTTAACCAGAGACAGACGGGGAGGGGGAAGGGGAGAGAGAGAGAGAGAGCGAGTTTGAGTTTTTATAAAACCTTTATTTTATACTCAAGTGTTAACACAAATAATGGCACACTGCCTTTTCAGAAATGAAACAACAAATGTAATTCCTAAATAAAAATTAAAACATACAAATACATTAAATAAAAGTACAAAAAAACATATATATACATTCAACTCATTTCATCAACAAAAAATAGTTTCCCCTCCACAAAACACATCGCTCCTTCGTAAGCCCACTTCTCCTCAAACAATGGGAGATCTTTTACAGCCGAGAAGAACTCAAAATCCACTTTTATTCTCGCTTTCACTAATCCTTTAAAAACACATCTTATGTTTCCTACTCAGAAAAATTGACATATTAGCTTGTCCCAAAATAAAATCTAACAGTTTACATTTTCTTTTCTGTTGCTTACTATATTGAAACCCCAAAATAAAAACTGTTATTGAAAATCTCCCCTACAGCTTTAAACAAAGACTCCAGCATATCCAAGAGAGGCTTTATCCTCTCACACTCCATAAAACATAACAGATACAAAAGTATTAACTGCAATGATGCCATGCAAAACCCTCCATTGTATATCACCAGTACCCTTTTATAACAGAGGCTTGTACAGTGCTCTCCATGCTGGCTTTACCTTGTCATCAATGCCCAATTTAACCCTCCAAGGAGTGTCTTTTCTATTTTTCAATGTATCTTTATTTAACACCTTGACACACCCCCTATATAAGTCTTTCCCATTCACCTCATCCAAACCCACCTCTTCCAACCCTCTCAAATCCAGTAATAACGCCTTTCTTTCTGACTCTGGGATATTGGGTGTAATCCCTAGTCTTGGAAATGAGACGTTTTCATCTTGTACCTTCTTCTTGTGACTATTAAGCATACCCCACTCTTCTGCTGACAGAGCCTTCCTGCAGCTTCCCAGCAGTTGTCCGACAATCCTTTCCGACCTCACCCCCAAATGTTCAGTCACCCATCTTCCATCCATTAAGGTTGGCCCAGCCATGGCCATTAACTGTTTTAGGGTGATGATTTTTCCCTTCACCAGAATCTTGGAGAAATGTGGAACAGCTGCAGTTGTACAATCCAGTCTTGCCCCATACACCAGAGGTTCCTCCAAAAGCCAATGCACCGACTCCGCTGGAGTGCGTCTGGACACCTTCATTATGCTCCAAACCCTAAGAAGGCCCCTGTAAAACGGAGGTACTCCCTCCCTA